CACTCAACTTTCCATTACCATTCTAAGAAGCTGCAGAACTCTGCGAATGGCCAGCATTTCTCACAGTGACCTTTTCCTGACTGTCTGCTGGACAGCTGTCAACTCAACAGTCGTTCCATGAATGTGTAACAAATTAATTATCTTTAATTATGAAATATTTACATATTCTGAGAAACTAAATTTTGGTGTTCATTAACTTAAACCATAATCTTCAAGATATAGATAGAAAAATAAGGTTTGAACATCACTCTGGGTCATAAAGCTGCATAACATGAATTCAGCTTTTTCAGTTGAATTATTGAAATAAATACACTTTTCAGTGATATTTTAACTTATTGAGATGTGTCTGTAATTCCCTCGCTGCCACAGTGTAGTCAAGTTTTTTGTGGTAATGTTAAGAATCTGGTAATCTCTCCAGTTGTTTGGTTGTGTTTTATTTTATTTTATTTTTTGTTTTGTTTTGTTTTATTTTGTTTTTTAATTTTATTTTATTTTATTTTATTTTTTTATTTTTTTTTTTTTTTTTGCCACTTTAGACTTGGAGCCATTAATTGAGGTAAAATCTGTGGTTCCCAGAACTAATACTTGCATACACTGGTCTTGTTTAGCTGTGAAAAAAAGAACAAATTATTTGTTCATTAGTCATCTCCTTATTTATAACTTTAATTTATGGGATATTCGAATGCATACTCTATCAAACACTGGTCATGTGAAAAAATGACTTAAGCACATTTCTTTTCTTTACTCTGTGAAGTCTGAGTATTTTTCCCTTGTTTATTTTACAGCAATACCCTTTTTTCTTGTTACAGTGATTACATATTTTGCCAATGTATAATGTCTTTTCAGCGGGTTTCTTTTCCTCAGTTTAACCATGACTGCCAGTTTTTTGTGTTTGTTATGCTTTTTTTTTATTAAGCTGAATAGAAGCAGTGAATTAATGTTGAACCTGGGAGTTTTATTTTATTTTATTTTATTTTTTTAGGTTGCCAAAACTGATGTACAGCAGGGGAGGTTGAATTAAAAGCCGACTTGTTCCCCTCGTGCTGTAGAAATTTTCTGATGTTGATTCAGTAACTTTCACAATCCTCTCATGAATGGTTTGTCTTTAACTTTTTGTCAAAAATTAAAGATTAGTGGTCAGAATCAGATTAGACTCTCAGAGGGAAAATGACTTTTATGAGGTCCTGGGAATGTTTGGGAATATCACTGCAAAAACAGGATCACCTCGGCTAAAGCCAACCAGGCAGCTGCTGTTTGGAGAAAGGCTAACATTCGATTATAACAACAATTTCTAAGTAATTATGGAAAGATATGTCGAGTAAAAATCTCGTGTGCTGTAGCGTTTGCAGTTGGTCTAAAAGCAACCTTTGCAAAGCTGCCAGATAAGTTTTCACTCAACTTAAATGATTGGTTGCTTCATTGCTCATCGGCTGTTATTGAATATTGATTGTGATTTTTTTTTATCATTATTATTTGTTGCAGTTCCTTTAGGTGTACTAATTCTTGCATTTGACAAAGCTGCCAACCCAGTATCAGTTCGTGTCTGTTGTCTGCCATGTCCATCGGACTGACACACCTTTTGTTTTTTTGTATGCTAACCTCTGTTGATAAAAATGTTTATAAGATTTATTTTCGCCAAAGATATGCAATTGCATTATATATGGTATTACAAAAATATTAATAAAATCCTGTTCTTGTTACGACTTGTTCCGGTTTCTCATATTTTACGTTATAAAAACCAGACAAGAAGCTTCGGTGTCTCTGTATTTTTTCTCAACAACAACAAAGTTCAATTTACTTTATTGAGATTTTATGTAATAGACTAACACAAATAATTAATTGTGAAGTAGAATATATATTTTTTTGTCAAATACCCAAACTGTGGTGTCAATATGTGTTTTAGTATGTTTTCTTGTTTTTTTGTTTGTTTGTTTGTTTTATTATATGTCTGCCAGTTTTGCACATATTGAAACTTGAATGTTTGGCAATCCTGCAAAATTCAGTCAATTTCTAAGTCTAGATTCTCAACTGTGTAAAAACTCTGGGACACTAAAACAATAATTCATTTTGATCTGAATCACTATTGTAGCTACACCGTAAGCATTGTTTTTTCACACTTTTAACAAGTTTAATTCCAGGATCAACTTATTTTTTTTGTTATACATCTTCCCATAAGCTGATCCCACATTCATTGTTCCCACTGAAGCATCATGATGCTGCTACCACCATGTTTTAAAGTGAGAAAGGTGTGGTCAGGATGATTTCCTCCACACACAGAATTTTGCAAACACTCCAGAAACTTCAATTTTATTATCAGAACTGAGCAGAGCAACTTTTCTGCATGTTTTTGTGTGTGTGTGTTTTCAATTCTAATAGTTTTTGTGCTGATATTCTTCCACCTCAACTGTGGATGTGCCCCAGCTCCATGTTGCAATATAGTTGCATGCCACACTTTTTAGTTTTTTTTCCCCTTTTCATTTCACAGTTCTGCACTTCTTGTGTCAATCCAACACACAAAATCCAGAGAGAATACAATGTTTGTTGTAACATATGAAAATGTTCAGATCAACTCTGCTACCTGTTTATAGCAACATCCTACTGCTGCTGGTTAGGATCAGCAGGTTGTTACTACTTTGGTTCATCTGCCAGGCATTTCCCGTCAGGTCCAGCAGTTCTGCTCTGTTTTGACTGCACAAGCTGCGCTCGGCGCTTCGAGTGGCAGCTCCACATCACTTTCCCTTTTTTCTTCTTCATGGGCGCACCAGGAACCCACCTCTACGTAAATTCCTGGGCCGAGCCGTACAAGTCTGACGGATGCAACATCAGATGTGCTAACGACACTCTCCTCTGTTAGTTAATTAGTCATGGAGGACTGCGGGATGAACACGGTGTGACCCTGAACAAGGGCTTGTCTGACTAGCCCCGGGCCCTCTGGCATGGCTCTATTGTTCAATAGAGTCCTGTGTGTCGACTGGAAGAGGGAGCGAGAAGAGGGGTGGGGGCTTCTCCCTACTGACTGCCTCAATTCAGCAGGAAATCAGAGCAGCAGCATCCCCCCCACTTTTCCCTCCCTCCCTCCTACACAGGCCCTAGCAACCACGCCACGCCGACAGTTGCCAGGCAACCAGACAATGCCGGAGCCACTGGCTGTGGTGTAAGAGAGAGTTTGTGTTTTGCATGTATACGTTCTAGCAAAGGATGGGAAAGGAAACAGTTATGCTACGTGATGAAAAATCTAAAGAGATTAGAGTGGATTAGGTCAAATTAATCGTGTAGGATTTGTGATGAGATGGATGCATTAGCAACATGTCATTTCACTTCTGGGCTAAATGAGGTCAGTGTGAAGTGAAATCACAGAGACTGTCCTTTACATGAAACAGATTCCTGGTCCTGGTTTTATTACAGCTGCTGGGGACATATATTACTGAAAGCCAGCAATAAATCAGGCTAATGGTCTTATTTTAAATGGTAATTTATTTTAAAAGTATTTTCGAATGACAAGAAGTATCTCTATTTATAAAACTTTAATGTTTTTTATATTTTAAAAAATGGGAAGAAAGTTAACTCCAAAAATATTTCATGTTACTATAAAATAATTAATTTGGAATCTTCTTCTGTTTATTTATAAAGCTGTTTGTGTTTTTAAAGCCACATGAAGGACTTTGCTCTTCCAATGAAAAATGGAACGAAAAGCTCAACATGCTCTCCCTTCGTTTCAGAGTAAATTAACAGTAATAAAGACTCAATTATTCATGTATATCACCAGCTGCTGTTCCCCGATTTTATAAATAAACAACTTCCCTTTAAATACCAAATAACATATTGCACCTTTAATCTGCATATTATTCAAACAAAAATATGCAGTTTACTTGCCACATTATCCTATTTAATGTCTATTTAACCTCACTGAGATTAAGCAACCAATTCAATAAATTGCAACAGAAGAGCAGTGGATCAAAATAACAAACATAGAGGGAATGTTCAGACTTCATACAGCTTCATACTCATTTAGAGTATGAAGCTGTACTGACTAGTTTTTCTCTACATTTTATTGCCCACATATGCGTAAAATAAAGCCATAAGAAGTTCCATCTGTGGCTTGGCAATAGCGATGCAGTATAGGCAGAGCAATGTGAAGGTGCTTTAGTGAGATTTTTTTGAATACATGCAAAGTGCTACGTGTGGCTACAAACCAGTGCTGTGCATCGGCCTGAACCCTAAAGTGAAACATAATAGAGGCAGCATCATGAAAACCTGTAAGAGGTTGCAAAACATCTGAGACTTGGTTTGAGGTTCAGCTTCCAGCAATAAGACCATCCATTATCTACCTGCTTATCCTTATTGGGTAGCAGGAGGAGATGGCACCTGTAGTCATTGGGCGAAAGGTGGGATGCACCCTTGGACTGTGAGGAAGCCGGGATACCTGGAGAGAACCCACACATGCAAATTCCATACAGAAAGTGACCAGGCTGGGATTCAAACCCAGAACCTTCTGGGAACATTCTGGGTTTGAATCCGTGCTACCAGCTCCATCACTGTGCAGCCTAACATAAACCCAGACCTATCAAATCCAATCTGTGTAATTTGATGCTCACAGATTCTCCCCATCTAATTTGCTTGAATCTGCTAGAGCTTTTTTTTTTTTTTTTTGCAAAAGACAATGGGACAATGTTAGTCTCCAAATGGCCCGGGATCAGGATTAAGCCTGCGCTGAGGACTGTAGCCTCTCTGTATGCACCTGCTCTATCACTGAGCTTTGGAATGCTCCTGTTTTTTTTTTATAGCCTAAAAACGAAACGCATGCGTTTTAACCTTTAATCCTTTCCGTTCACTTCTACTTTATGTTGGTTTACTACATAACAGTTCAATAAAATTCATTGCAATTTGTGGCGATAAAAGTTTCAGGAATAAGAATACCTTTGAGTTGTTCATTTGTTTATTCATTACTCCGAACGCCAGATGGCGCTCTGCTGATACCGGCCCACCAGTTCCATGCACTTTGACTTCGTTCTGTTGTCTCTGATCGGTTCTCATTTGAAGAGGATTTTGCGGGTTAGCAGGATAATGGGAGTCTTCCTCCAAACGGATGGATATTTAGGACTGTCTCATTATCTCAGCGGTGGCAACCCTCGCTGTTAAAATTAACCCAACGACTCTGCTGATTAACGTAGCTCTCTTTAATTAATAGTGCGTGTTTAACGTGTTGCTCGGTGTATGGATTTGTTTTGCTACATAGCTAGTTAGCTGCTACCTAATAGCGCTAATTTAAAACATGCAAAACAGTGCAACTCTCGGTTTTGAAAATAAACTTAAGTTAGATTATGAACGCGCTGTAATCTCCTCTGTCTGTCATCATGTATCTAAAGCCAGTTCTTCCGAGTAACGGAACAAGGAGCTTCGGAGTTGCCGATCTGAGCTAGCCTGCTAGCATTTAACAGTTCCGACAGCGTGAGGGTTCGGGCTGTGGCGACCAGCTGATCGGCTTCCTGGGTCAGCTGCTTCCAGCATCAAGTGTTTGGGACTGAATACGTTTCCAGCTACAATGGCTAACGTTACAGACCTGCAGACAAAATACAGCAAGCTGGCGCAGGAGTATTCAAAGGTAAAAAGGAAAAACATTTAAACGTAATTTGCCATGTGATTCAAGTAAAAAAAAAAAAATTGTAATCTGATTACAATAATATATAGAGGCTCAGAGAAAATAATATTTTTTACAGCAGCAACACTTTTCATACTATGTTTTTTGATAACTTGTTTTCTATAATTTGCTTTTAGTTTGCTACAGAGCCAGTCTAAGGGTATATGAGGCCCCCAGGAAAGTTTTATTAAAACTTGGTGTGGTGACAAGTTTAGCCCAGCAGTCACCACACCACCATCTCTTTTAAGTGGTTCATGTTTAATATTTTACAGTTACTGTGTGCAAATAATGCAAGCTACTTCAACACAATTGTCTGATAATGTTACATTACATTTACTCTTTGATTCTTTTTAATGTAGCCTTTACAATTTTACCAATTTTCATTGTGTGTAGGGGTGGGCAATATCTACTTAGATTCATCACAATAGGAACTACTTATTACTTCTTGTTTAGGTAACTGTGTGTTACAGCAATTATGGCAACAAACACAAATACCGGTCTTGTCTTGAAAGACATTCCCATTTGTAATACACTTCTTTAGAACACTAGTCACATAAAGAAGTGTGATTTATAGCATTAATTTGCACATAGTAACCGCGTTTAGTCACATTTTTGAATTTATTAACATTTATTAATGCTTTCAATGAAAAAACAGTGGAGAAAATTGTCAAAATAACAACCCTGACGATACAAACGGTACTGTTTTATTTTAAACATCATCAATTAGAATTTATTGTGACTGGGACGCATCAAAATTCTTATAAGTTGTTGCAGAGTTTATTTGATCAAAACACAGTTTGTTTTGATCCAGAATCATATTCTCACAATCAGTCAAAAAAAGGGAGTAATGTAAAGTCCTCTGAAAATGAATTTGTGAAATTTAAGCATTTTTATGGCAATTTAAAGATTATCAAAATATGCTGAAAAATATTTTGCTGTGCAAAGGTGAAAGTAAATGGCAAAAAAAAATGGAAGTAGGAAGGGACCAAATGACAATGGTCAGTTTACAAAGCGGTGAAGTGGAGCTGACAACAGTTTATACAGAAACCTGATAGCGCACAAGTAAAAGATGCTCAACTGGATCAGGATAAGTAGTCTGCTTTGAAAGTCTGGTTCAGCATTCATTGTAACAAATGCCAGTATGTATCATTAATTGGTGCAACTCCAGAGTACAGTGGAGTAGATAGAAGCTGACCATGTTCTCTGTGTAAAGGAATTTGCTCCCCTAAAACATTTAGGGGTATGTAATTTGAACTTCCGCATGTTCTTAATTAGCGGTTTGCACGCCCCAATTCCTAAGGTGCACGATATAAAACATTTAAACAGCTGTGCCTCAGTGAGCTGGAGCTCTGCACGTCTCGTTGGATGTTTTAACTACCCACAACGCATGACGTGTTAAAGATGCCGTAAACACTCCTGATGGTTAAATTTGTGATCTGGCGACAGTAAAGCCTGCCTGTCAGTGCGTTCTGTGGAGCATTACTTCAGCCCTTTGTTTCTCCGTCAGCTGACATCACGGGGAGTGTAAGCCGCTTCCTCTTTAGCTCTCATCTCTCCATTAACTAAGCACCATATCCTGAACCAGGAAGTGCTGACTGTGTAACTGTCAAACATTCATGTTCCCAGTCCAGATTTTAGAATTCAGTAGGTTTGTGTGACTTCTCATTCTGGATAGAAAGGATGAAAAACTTCAAAGAACTGGTAGTAACACACATCATTTTTTTCTGTATTTGTAAATCAAGTTCACTCAGGATTTTATCTCTGTCTGTGTGTCATTGTTTTTGGGGGTTTTTTTGTGTTTGTTCTCAGCTCCGTGCCCAGAACCAAGTGCTGAAGAAGGCAGTTGTAGACGAACAGGCCAACTCTGCCTCTTTAAAGGTACATTACAGATACTGCTATGACCACCGTCTCATCTGTATGTAAAGTGTTTATCATATTACACATCTGAAAAATTGGTAAAAAAAATAAAAAAATGACGTCCTCTTCAAGATTTTGTGTATCAGTGCAGAAACAAGTTGACGGAATCAATCTAAGGCTGGTTGGAAATAGTTATGGAATTTTCTGGAACCTATTGCTGCACACTGCCTGTCAGCTGGTAGAAGGAGGTTACTACACTTTTCCCAAAAACATTCTTTTTGCAAGAGTAGGAATAATTGTTGTTTTTCTGATTGGAATAAAGCAATTTGATCATATTATGTTTTTTTATTATTATTATTATTATTATTTTATTTATAGTTTCACCAAAACCTTAGTATTTCTAGCAAAGGTCTAGTTAGAAATCTACTGGAGACTTTGTGTTTTCCTGTTGGAAAGATGGGAGCAGACCCTTTGAAAAAAATATTTTTCCATCGTAATTTAGTGGAAGGACTGTAAGACTGGACTTTTGTTGTCTAATGTCTTTCTTTTTATTGCTTTTCCTTGTTCTCGTGGTTTGTCAGGACCAGCTGAAGCAGAGGGACCAGAGCCTGAGGAAGCAGGAGCAGGAGATGGACAGCCTGAGCTTCAGGAACCAGCAGCTCGCCAAGAGGGTGGAGCTGCTGCAAGAGGAGCTGGCTGCTAGTGAAGGCAGGAGCAAAAAGGGGAAGGTGAGTTTTTACCAACGGAAATGAGTGCTTGGTGAAGGGGAGAGGTTTTTATAACTACTTAGTGGTCAAAGAATTATTCATAAAAACGATATCGACCGAAGGTGTATTGAGGAACACTTTTGGTTAATTTTTTAGAAATCTGACCAGTTGCTGTTTTCCTTCCAGGGTAAAGGAGACTCTCCACTGCAGCCAGGCCTGCAGACACAAAGTGTTTTCAATGAAGATCTGCAAAAAAAGATAGAAGAGAACGAGCGTCTTCACATACAGGCAGGCATCTATGCTTTGTATAATTTCTTACTCTGAAAGTATGTGTGATGACCTCTGACCTTGCCTCTTCTCCATACCTGTTAGTTCTACGAAGCCGACGAGCAGCACAGGAAGAAGGAGGCCGAGCTGAGGGCCCGGCTGGAGAAACTGGAAGGAGAGGCAGAAGAACACCAGGCTGTTGTTGACGGACTCACAACAAAGTATGTGGAAACCATCGAGCGCCTGCAGGGTGACAAAGCTCGTTTAGAGGTGAGAACCAGATTTCATCGGAGACAGATCAGTTTTGAGATTTCAAAAAAAAAAAAACACACATGTTAAATGTATTTTTATATTTTCCAACAGCTGAAAACACAAATTCTGGAGAGGGAGGCGAAAGACTGTCGAATGCGAACGGAAGAGTGGTATGGAAATAATTAGTTTTGATCTTATGGGGACAGATTTCATAAGTTTTGCATGTTTAGAGGTCGGTAGTGTCTTCACAAATGACCTTGATTTGCCTGGGTGCTTCATAATAAGTGAGAAAATTTGGTTGTGATAGGAAATAAGTTCTCCATTGCTGTGTTATAATATTACTATGTCATCCATTGTAATTCAGGAACAGTCTCAAGAAAGAATAAACTCACAAGTATTAAGCGCAAACTGCACCGCATTAAATTCCTTTGAGAAGGCCGTAGAGAAAGGTTGTTGAAAGACACAGACTGTTTTTTTTTTTTTAAATCATGTTTTCGGTGTGTGTCTGCAGCCAGCAGCAGTTAAGGCGCTGCCAGTCGGAGCTGAGCAGGCAGGTGAAGCAAAGCAGCAGCGTCATTCAGGAGAAAGTGCCCTTTAACGACACCAGTAAGTGACTGGGGTTGTCTCTGAGCAGACGCCAATTTAAAAGCATTTATGCCTCAGAATTTTACAGGCACGACTGTCAGATTACGTTCTGGTTCTTAATGATGCGTCTCCATGTTGATTCATCATGGTTGAACGACTATGCAGCAAACGACTTCAAGCTTCAAGTGCACAAGTTTAAATTCATTGTGTTTATATTCTTAACAAGTCGCACATGTAGTCACACACTTCACGCAGTCGTCAACATGGTGTTGGTATAACTCTGACTGCAGATGTGGCTGCTCTAGTTCACAGAATTAGTAGAGCTTATTTAACATGCTATTTAACGTGGTTGGTTTTCTGTCCAGACATTTCAGGTCAGGTCCGTAGGAGAATCTGAAACACTTCCCAAAATGAATTTTGATGTGTGTTTAGGAGAAATCAAACTCTTATCGAGTTTCAAACCAGCGGCACCCAACATTTCGTGTTGAGTTTAAAGAAACGTGGTTAGAATCGTCAGAAATGGTTAAGAAACCACTGAATAATTAAGATTACCACGAGCTGGAAACTTCTGTGGCAGCTGTGTGACTAATAAAGCATGGGCTTAGACGGTGCGGCCAGTTATCAACGACAGCATCATGTAAAACTGAAACCTGCAGCTAGACAAGCCAAACACCTTCTGGAGTAAAGTTTTGATGGTCAGAGGAGAAAATGGCAAAAACTTTGCCTGGAGGAGTCTTTCAAACCTAGTTATATACTCACTGTGTTGTCAGGCATGGTGGTGGAAGTATCATGCTTAGGGCCTGTTTCAGTAACCGTGGTAACAGTGAGATGTACAAGTCGATTGCTCGGATTAACCACAAATAACAACATGATTGAACCTTGGAGACTACTGGGTGCTCCAAATGGATAATGATCCTAGAGCTGGTTTTAAATACATAAATCAAACATAACATTAATCACCTGGAATGACCCTTGACCTTAACTGTGCTAAAACGTATGAACTACCCTTAAAAACCTTACCAGGTGGCTCCTGGTGGTAGCAGGAAGTATCTTCTCTCTGCAACTTGCTAAAGAGAAAAGATATTTATGCAGTTTCACTGGGAGTGTACATTTGAGGGATTGTTTATGTTTATATTTGTTTTATTATACATATTATGTGTTTTTACTTGCTAACCTCCCAAAAAGAAAGACTCAAATAGGCAGTTAAAGGACCCAAATGAGTGTAAACATCTGATTAAAACTCTTGTTCAGCAGAAAGCTCATGTTTGTGTTTGAAGGTTTACAGTATTGTTTTGTTGTTGGTACATTTTGTTGCTGTGATTCTGTCAAACTTCTTTTATTCTGCAGAATTTAGCGACTATAACAGCCTAAATGTGCCATCACACAACCGACGGCACCAGGTGAGTGAGAAACCAGTTCGTAGCCGTTTAGTTACTTGGAAAACTGCTCTGTTGCAGAGATTACACTAAATTACAGAGTAATTAAAGGAGCTTTGCCTATGTTTGGATGCAGCTTAAGGCTCGGGACGTAACAAGTCAAGCCCTGAGCTTCATCCAGGACCTGGTGGCTGCTCTGCTGAACTTCCACACCTACACTGAACAGCGGGTCCACATCTACCCCCTGGACTCGTCCATCGAACCCATTTCTCCTCTGAACCAGAAGGTGGGGCCGTCGCACCCAGACACATCCAGCAGCTTAGAGACGACGCTTTAATTTGGTTGTTTCGAAGGACTGTGAGTTATTGTGCAATTTAGGAAGTAGAGTTCTTGTCTCGCCACAGTTTTCTCAGTATCTCCATGAGAACGCTGCCTATGTGCGCCCCCTGGAGGACAGCTTTCTGCAATTGTACCAAAGCATCACAGAGGACACTGTTACAGTGCTGGTGAGGCTCTGACTGAACGTTTTATATGTTCAATAAAAAAAACAAAAACAACAATAACTCTAAATTACATTACATGTTGAAATTAAGGAGACTGTTGTCATGCTGAGGAATTTCGCTGAGAATTTCTCCTCCTACACACACTTCCTGCTGAAGATTCTTCCCTACCAACTAAAAAGGTCAGCGCTGTGTTTGAAAGAAGGCATGCTGGGAAGTGGAGGAGGCTGTACTGGTAGCATTGTCTGCTCTGGATTTTTTTTTATAATTAGAATATATATATATTTTTTTTCCAAGCTTGGAAGAAGAGTGTGAAGCTCCTCTTTGCACTGCTGCCCTGATGGCAAAAAACCGGGAGTTACAGAGTGACATGAAGAAAGTTACCACCGTGTTTGAGAAGATGCAGAACTACATCAACCTCTTGGCCTTACCCAGTAAGTTAACCTGCAACAGCTCATCTCTTTTTTTTTTTTTTTATTACTCAGGATTGTTACTGAATTGAGGATTCAGAACTTCTTTTGGTCAATTTGTTATTTTATTACAATTTTTTTTTTTATTGCAACATGTGGACAAATGTGCAGCGATACGTTTAGTGATGTGAAAAGATTAGCACACTACATTAAATATTCATTCCTTTCAAAATAAATCCTCATAGATTGATGACTAATCCATTTTTCATCTCAAGAAAAACAAAATGATTTAATTAACCTGTTCAGTAAAAATGTAAGCTCTAAATGAAAAAAAAAAAAAAAAAGTTAATACACTCTACATCCTAATAGCTACTGCAGTGAAACTGCTGAGCCCAAATTCTGGGAAACTGCCTGCTTTCAATTACATTTTACTGAAAATTTTAGAATCTCCTCCACTCATTTAGTTCTTGTTTCATTTATTGAATTTATCTCTGTTGTTAGTAAATAACCAGATGTTTAAATATGTTAGAATGACACACAGGCTTTCGTTGCAATGTGTTATGTTCTCTCTCCCTTTCTTTTCTTTTTCTTTTTTTGTACTTCTGATAATAATGACAAAATGAACAGAAACGCAGGTTCTGATCGAGCAGAGCTGGTTGCAGGTGTTAACGTGTTGTGCTTGTTTAACAAACGCGCGGCGTGTGCCTCAGGTGTTCGGCAGGACGCCATGCCACAGAGCAGCACCTCAGCTGTCTTCACCCAGCTGGCAGCTAGCCTGCACAGCCTTCATGATGCCATTAAAGGTGAGCAGCACCGTCAGCCGCTTTTGACCCGCGGCCTTTCACACTGAATTTCTTTTGTGCGTCGACTCAACATCGACCTGTTCAGTGTTCATGAAGGAAACCCCAGCCTGTCTCCGTCGCTGTTTCTGTCAGAGCTAATATAGACATTAATTATCTTCAGTGTTACAGTAGGGACTGTGACACCATTTGCATACCAGTCAAAAGAGAATAAATTTGTCATATTTACCAGTCGATGCTTTTGTAAGTTTCCTTCGGACCTTTTGGTCCAAATACAAAAGTGTAACTGTGTGTTACACGTCATCAGAACTCACTACTATGCACTAATTCTTAGTGGAGATTAGCACCTGGGTGGCCCTTTGGTTTCTCTAATTAAATCACAGTGAAACCAGTTTGCTCATTTTTCCCCCCCCTGAAATGACACTATCCTGTGGAAACCTGAAAATTTATATACAAATCCAGATGTCATCCTTGATAAACAACTAAATATCTGTGTAAAAAGTCAGTTGTTCAGTCTAAGAATATTTATCTATGCCATTTTTTATCATCTCATAGTTTCTCCAGCTGCCAGTCCAGCTTAGAATTGAACAGAAAATCTGATCTAAGTGATAAATAACTTGACCCCCCCGCCCCCACCTACATTATTGATCTGGTAACTCCATACTTTAGACCCCTACCGTCTTCTGATTGACTTTTCAGTGAGCACCGATGAAATCAGAAGTCCTCAAATCTGTGTAACGCTCTTCCTGTTTAGATGGCTCACTTTTAAAAAAAAATGTTTTCTCTGTGATTCGTGTATGAGGCTGCTCTGCCTATTGTCCCATCGTTGCATTTAATCTCTGCTGTGTTTTGAATTGGATATAAAGCATTTTTCTACCAGGCTTTACTTTTGGTCACCGATGGTATGAATGCCTCACCTGCTGTTCTTGCGTCTCCAGAGATGTCAAAACATTACAACCAGAAGGCAAGCATAGAGCAGGAGCTCCCCACTGTCACGCAGAAGCTCTGCACCACCACAGAGTGCCTCCTCGGATCGCTGGGCTCGTTGACCAGCGTCACCGGCAAGGTATGGCCACCAGGGGGCAGGCAGCAGTCGGGTTTCTGGCGTCTAACCTCCCTTGCTGAGCAATATGTCTGATTTGTTCACTGTAATGCTTTTTTTTTTTTCTTCTTCTTTTTTTTACCTTACTGCAATAGGATCACAGTTGTAAAATGACACTAATGTGTTAACAAATAACAGAAGGACTCAGCTGGGCAGTGGTTAGATTTTTGGAAGATAACGCCCAATTCACAGTTTGCACAGCTGCTCTCTGGTCAGAATAATGGGATAAATGATTTCTCTCTGCGATCCAACTGGGTGGCAGCATCTGCTAACGTGCAAGCATGAGATTTGCTTCTGCAACCTGAAGGCAATTGTGAAAGACGCCTGATTGCTCAGAATATTTATTTACCAGAATAACGGAGGAATCATCTCCATTCGGCTTCTTCGCGTTGCTTAGTATTACCGTCAACAGAATGAGAATCGGATTTATAAGACAGCTGTAAAAGGTTGAGTTCGCAATGAAGTTTTGCATTGAATAAAATTGGATAAAAGAACTGAGAACTGATTTGACAAATGTAGCCATTCTGCGTTGAATAAAGTGATTCTTCAGATCGTAATTCTTTTTCACAGATTGCCACTTTCTTCAGCAACAACTTGGACTTCTTCACGTCTCCAGGCTACAGTCCGAGAGGATGCGCAGTGAGCCTCAACCCGCTGCAGGCAGAGAGCATGCTGGCCAACAAAAAGAAAGCAGCTGCCTACATCGACGCCATCAAAACGGTTAGGCATCAATATTGCTGGTGTTAAAGAATTTTTTCCCCCCCTTATTTTTGTATCATAATTTGTTTTCAGAGGGTGTCTGTGCATCCTTAAAAAGTCTTCACAGGTCTTTTGTTAGTGCAGTACTGTTTAATGTTGTATGTAGATCTTTTTTCCCCTCACTGAGTTCTTTCTGTCAGGCTAAAGTTGCGCGCAGACATCTTCATTACGTTCTGTGACTTCATCTGGTTGAGGTTTCTGGTAACTAACTGTTAATATACCCTTGGTTAGATATATATATATATATTTTTTTTTGCCGGTGCAAATTTAACTTTGTCAGGTGGCTGGATGACATTTGTTTTCACATCCTGGCACTTTAAAGCAGTAAAGACTCATCATATGGAGTGTGAGAAGAACAAAGCTGCTGCCAGGAGCCACAAACAAACCAGAAAATTCAAAGTTTTTGTTGCTGTGCTTGATTGTAGCACAGCAGGATTCCCAATCATCCCTTATATTTATAGGTTTTTTTTTCCTGTCTTAAATTTCATTTATAGTGGGATTAAAAAGGTCTTTAAATGTGACTTGCTGAAACCTGCAGATGTACCAATTTATATTTTAAGGTTTATAACAATGCTATTTTAACGTAAGTTTTATTTACATGCGTTTGTTTGTTGTTGTTTTTTTTTATGTTTTTGTTCAGGCGAGGCCACAGTCGGTTCCTTACAGGGAAGCCCTGTCAAACCGTCGGATTCTCACCAGCTCCACTGAGAGCAGAGAGGGTCTCACTCAGCAGGTAAAACACAGAGATAAAACTGATTTCTACAGGTATCTGTGAGAAGAGTTTACATATTAATAGGAGCTGCAATATTAGTTTATTTGTTTAGGTCAATTGTTAGCATTGAATTCAGGGTTAAAGGTTACCCACACGCAGCTATGCTCATCTGTGTCTCTGGTAACGAGGATGAAAATGTGAAGTGGAAATTGTTAAAACATTGTTTTCTGGTTAAATAAGACATGTTGAAATGGTAATAATTCAAATACTTAATGTTTTGCAATATGTCGTATGAAACGTGAGGAGTTGCTCTTTAGGGACGAGGTGTGAAATGTCGAGAGCCTGGCTGTGTGTCTGCAATCTGTCCTTGGGAAAAGTTGTGTTTGGGTTTTTTTTTTTTTTTTTTTTTTTTTTTCGTTCTCTCTTCATCAGAAACAGTTCTGTTACGTCTCCTCATTTCTCCTTTAACACTTGGCCTCCTTTCGCTTCTCCAAACCTCCGTTTCCCCACGAGCGTCACCGTCCTCTCATCGCCCTGTCGTTTCGGTGCAGGTGCAGCAGAGCCAGGAGAAGATCGCCCGGCTGGAGCAGGAGAAGGAGCACTGGCTCCTGGAGGCCCAGCTGGGGAAGGTGCGGCTGGAGAAGGAGAACCAGCGCATAGCCGACCTGGAAGCGCAGCTGGCAGCGGCTCTGGGGGGAAGTCAGAGCTCCCAGACAGCCGCAGACGGCCGGCTCACACAGAGCAACGAGGAAGCCGAGACGGCGCAGAAAGCCGCAGGGAAGGAGATGACTCTCTGCACCAGCCTGGTACCATCACTGTTCAAGCTGCTGTTTGTTTTTCGCTTGCAGGGAAAGCTTGTTTTTTTTTTTTTTTGCCCGTGGCAGCATGTCTGATTAGCTTCAACAAAGGGAGTATTATCACTCTTTTCTTTCAGCTCCCACTAAGCAAGTTTTAGCTTTAAAAAAAAACAAAACAAAACAAAAAAAAAAAACCTCACGCTTCCAATGTGCTGATGTGGCAGAAAAAGTTTTGTTTTTTTAATGTGACTCAGAACAAAGTTCATGGTGAAGTCACAAATCAGAACTGTTTGTTTTTCCACGTCTACTTTGAGTTTAGCTATTTTTGCCATCCCTCCTCCCCACATAGGCCCGTCGCTGTCTGATGCAGTCTCTTTAACACATCAACACTGATGAAACTCACATTTATTCATCTGTTTCGTCTCCAGGTCGGCATGTTGTGCACAACCCCTACAAATGAGCACGTAAGTCATAGCATGATTAACCCAACGGCTCCACACAAAAACAGAAACGATCATTATTTACTCTGCCTTAGTAAAAAAAAAAAAGAAAAGGAAAAATCTCATCCTGCTGTTGTCGTGTCTGTGTCGCAGGTGGGAGACGAAGAGTCTCGTGAACAGCTGATAAAGACTCACTACATGACGAGGGTGGGGGAGCTCACCACCCAGCTCCAGGTTTCAGACAGCAAAGCTGTTCACTTTCACTCAGAGGTGAGGACTGCATCCTGTCTGACAGGAGGAGGAAGGGTTTGCAAAACTATTGACTTTATTAACTTTTCCAAACCTGCTAAATCAGAAAAGTGTCCCATGCATTCTTATTTAAACCCCCAATTACTTTAATACAACGACATACATTTCCAGTGCAACCAATTCCTGAGAATTGACTTCACCAGTAAACGGAGCCCACCTGCAGGTAATCAAACCTCAGCCTAAGTCCAGCTGTTCACACACTAGGTCTTGATGCACAGTTCAGATTTCTTTTTGTTGAAATTGGATTATTTTTCTCTTTATTGCATAATACGAACGCAATCTGTGTGAACAGTTTGCGACCCGCGTGCGCAGAAGAACGATGACGTCACACAGCAGCGCATTGTCTACCGATCGATTTCAAAGTTTATTCACCAATGAGTGCTGACAACATTATCATAAAGTTATAGCAAGAGGAAGGAAGCTGATAAAAAAGAAAGTGCAACTGATAGCAGTGGTGTTTTGTGAAGCGTTGAATGCAACTTCTGTAGAGAAGTCTCTTCTGATGTGTAGTCAGAGCCAGGAGTGTTCCGATTGTGATCTGATGCGCTTCAGTGAAACAGACTTGTTTCATAATTTCATAATTATAAATTCTTTTTCAGCCGTTGTTTACGTCTGGTCTTGCTTCTTCTGGTTCAGAATTACAATTTGTGCCTCATGGAAGCAATATAGAAGTCGCGTCAAATGGGGCATGACCGTTCAGACTGCAGATGCTTTTGCTTCCGATTTAGCTCCACATATGGAAGTGACTCGGATCGGATTTTTTTTTTTTTTTTCTGGGTGAAAAGATCAGATATAGGTCAGATTATGGGGAAAAACTGTAGTGAACAAACTGCATCATGATGCACAACGCAAATCTGACCTTGATTGAAGAGTGGCGAGCGAGAAAGTTAAGTATGCAAGAGAAGATGTTCTGATCCGAGGAGACCAAAATTGAACTTTCTGTCAGAGTTGACGAGAAGATGGATGGAGCTTTGCTGGTACAAAACCTATTAGAGGCTCCAGAAAACCTGAGAATCAGGAGACTCACCTTCCAGCAGGACAAAAAGATGCAGCTGAGATCCAAACATATCCATGTGTTGGAGCGCTTCAGTCAAAATCCAGACCTGAATCTAATTAAGAATCCGTGGCAAGACCTGAAAGTTACTTTCCACCAAAGCTTTTCATGCCATCTTGATGAACTTGAGCTATTTTGAAAAGAACAGGTCAAGATTTCTAACTCTGCATTTAAGATTTTAATTTCTTATTTATAAAAAAAAACAACTTGTGCTTTTTTTTATCGTTTATACCTCGCATCTAACCATCACTTGCATTTATTTTTCTTTTAAGTTGTTTAGGTTATCATCAGGCTTTGTAATTTTTTATTTTTCTTCTGAAAGTTGGATCACTTAAGCATCTTTTATTGAGGTGTTTATGTTTGCTTGGAGTACGGCAGATGTTCACTTTGTTGTTCCTGCCTTTTAGTGCCGAGCCTTGGCAAAGAGATTAACCATCGCAGAGAAAGCACGGGAGACTCTGAGCGAAGAGGTCAAACTGGCTAACGAGAATATCACTCGGCTGCAGGTAAATCACAAACCAGCACCTTCTCTGTGTGCACACATGGATCTCTTTCCAAACCAGAATGCACGCCAACGCTAACCGGAGCGCGTCTCACGCAGGACGAGCTGACTACGACTAAGAGGAGCTACGAGGACCAGCTCAGCATGATGAGCGACCATTTATGCAGCATGAATGAGACGTTGAGCAAGCAGCGAGAGGAAATCGACATGCTCAAGCTGGGTGGCAAGGTACTGCGCCGCCGAGAAGGGTTTTGGTTACAAGCCGTTTTAAAGGCCGGGTCAGGATCAGTTTAAATGTGACTTTGTGAGGTTTTCAGTCAGTCAGGAGGTGAGCTGAGAGGTCATCTGTGGTTTGTCTGGCTCCTAGTCGCGTTTTATGTAGGGCGCACCCGCTGGAGTCGTCTGAAAAAGTCATTAAGCCGAAGCCGACAGTAAAAGAGAGGCCTGTTCCCGAGCGTGCATGTTCCTGCTTGTACGTGCACTCATCGCTGCACGTCGGGAAGTCACAGGTCAAAACATGTTGTTCTTTGAAGGTAGCCATTTTCTACTGGAACTTTACAAGCTAGCCTCTGCATGTTTTGGATTTCTAAAGAATCTCTAAAAGTGAGCGCCAGCTGCCTGCTGCACTTAAATGCAACACAAAAGTTTGGTTTTTATGCCAATCTCTGATATTACAGTGAACAAAACACCTCAGATTTGACCTTACACATATTGGAACTGGTCACTTTGAAATATTCTTGCTGGACCTTTTACATCAAGTCACAACAACATCCCAAGCAACTAGTTTCCCTAAATCCTCCCATTATATGTTTTTATTAAATAGAACGACTAGAACCTTAGAAATGAAAACAACTCCAGTCATGATCTGGTATTTAATCTATAATTGGTTGACATGTTTGGTTTCTCCTATAGATAAAAAAAATGCTGTGAGAGGAAATGGTAGTCTTTATGTTTTCCCCGTTTATCTAATGTGCCTACAAGAGCTCCTCCTATTGGCTAATCATTCCTTTGTGACGATTCCTTTCCATAAAGTGTTTGGTTTAGAGAGCTTTGCTGTGTTAACAGGTGCAGAACCGGCACTCGTCACCTGGTCAGAGCCAGATGCAATACAGTTGAAACCACAAGTTTACATGCACTGAATAAAAAAAACAAAAAACACATGCACCTTTTTTTTTTCCCTCACCTTCTGAAGTTAAATCAAAATCAAGCTTGTCTTGTTTATGATCAGGTAGAATTACCAAGATTATTTCTATTTGATAATTCCACAATGATGAGAAAATAAACATGTCAGAGATGTGTTTGTATATTAATGCTTTTAAAATCAGAAGTTTACATACATTTCCTCAGTTTTTCATAGCTTTCTTTATGGTCAAATAGTTCCACTTTAGTTTCATCACATCACAGCATATTTGTCCCAACAGGAAAGCATTTGTTCGTGTGTGCATTTGTAACAGCAATCTGTTTTTTTAATGCTTCATTAAAATGCAAAATACAATACCAATTAACTCAAATCTGTCAATAAACTTATCAGAAGTTTCCTTGAGGCTTTCCCTCATTGCTTAAAGAGACACTGATCATCCTGATATAGATTTCTGATTTTGAAGATGTTAATAAATATCTTGACATATTCTCCCTGTGTAATCCTAACTGACCCCAAGCAGGAGAAGTTTGGTCTTATTTAACTTTAGACTGAGCAAAAAGGTACATTTCTCTATCAAAGTTGGTCCTGTCTTCTGTTTTTATTTCTTTCTCCTTCCGTCATTAAACTCATTAAAACTCAAAAAACAAAAAAAAAAATTAAGTCATTTGCTCCAAAATAAATGCTAGCTCTTCAATCACTTTAAATGTTTTTAATTAACTTTTAATTCCCTGGCCATAAACTTCCCTGAAGTAGCAGCTTTAGATATTGGTATTGATGTAAAAGTTTCTCAAAGTGCAACTTTACCTGCTTCCAAAGTGTCTGGAGTGGGACAAAGACCTGGTGAGGTGGAAACTTTATTGACTCTGGAAGTTAAAAGAAACCAACTTATTAACAGGCCAGTGGGATAAAACACTTCAAAAATGTATTTTGTTTTTTTTATGAATTGTTTCTCAAGCAAGTTTTGTATGTATTATGAGTGAAATATGAAAGTGTGGACACATTATGCACAGTGTGAGAATTGTAAGAAACTTTGTTCACCACGGCTGGCTGAAGTTATCTGGTTTCAGTAAAGGGCTATTTCAGTTTTTAAAGGAATTCATTCAATAATCTCTAACTCGTTGGAAAAAAACTTTAACTAGATCAAGTTTAACTTGTTTATTTTACATTACACCTTTGGAATTCATAGTTGTTTTTTTGTTTGTTTTGTTTTTATTCTATTTTTGTTTTTAGGCGAATGCGAAAAAGAACAAGAGTCGCTAGAGCTGCTCTCAAACCGTCAACATGTGCGGAGGATTTCCATGCTGCAGAACCTCTTGGTACCGACGCAGTCTCTGGACCTTCAGGATCACTGCGAGTTCAGAGACTCGAACACGTTTGATAAAAGCTTCGTTTTTCTGTTTTCTTGTCACGTCACCTTTTTAATGATTATGATTATCTGGAAATGGTTTGGCTGGCCTCTCAGGTCAAAGAGGATAGAAAAACAGCTGAAGTGGAAGTTTTTAATGCTCACCGAAGTCAAGACTTGAAGACCAAACCCTGTTAATGTGTGTAATTTTCTGACTAAGTGTGTGTCTGAGTGTGAGGGAGAAAATTGAACTGTGCACCCTTTGCTGCTTCTCTTTAAGTAGGTGAACGGAGTAAACGTCGGTGTGGTCGTGCGTTTGCGGGGTGTTGCCTCCCGAAGCGACTCTTGACACCACGCTTTGCATCGTGAGAGTATTGTTTTACAATGAAATGGCTAAATCTTTTTGGATTTGAGATTATCAGTGCAGGTGGTAACTGTGTAAATCTGCCCCTTCTGATACATGGATAATGTAACAAACTGTTGAGTATGATCAAATAGCTTACAAAGATGCACTTGAATTTATTGCCCTTTCTGGAAACGTTTTCATTTTCAGTCCTCTGGAAGTGGATGGAAGAAAAGGCTTTCAGCACTGATTGGCTCTGTTTACCTGGGCAGGTTGAAGCTTGTGAAGTTGTCCAATTCTGAGTCTTAAGAAGTTGATTGGTAACGATTGTTTTTTTTTTGTTTATCATCACCAAAGGAAATGTGGATGCATACTTTAAAGCTCCTTACATTAATCTAAGATGTAAGAATAAAAGGAGTTCATGTGAATTCATCTGAAATCATGATGTAATTAAATGTTTCTTAAAATTATGTATACAAAAATATGCATTTATTCAGAAGTTCCAAATCTTTATTTTACCCAGATTTTTATTTTATACAGATTCTTCAGCCGTTTTTTTTTTTTTTTTTTGTATTATTTCAGTAGCTGTCTATGTAACTGGGAAGAGTCATTAACAGATTGAACCACAATGTAAACAAAGATTATGGAAATTGTGACACGTGACAGACTTTTCTATGTGAAACAAATAAAGAAGCGTTGCTCCAGAGCCGTTCATTCAAGACTGAAATTTGAACACAGAGATTTGAAAACACCCTTTAAACCCACGGGAGAAAACAAATCTGTATTTCACAGTGTAACATGTTAAAAGGCACATATGTGAATTAAAATAAAAACCTTGCTCAATACTGAAGTGTCAGATTCACCTGGTTATTGAGGTTTTTTTTTTGTTGTTTTTTTGTTGTTTTTTTTAACTCGCCTGACACCAGTGTACACGTTTCATGTCTGGTAAATGGAGGAGACCGGGTCTGTGAGTAGTCTGTAATTTAAAACACAAAAACAGCCTGGAACAGCCTAACCACTAGGAGCTGAGGCAGCACTGTGTAAGAGCAGGGGGAACATGTATTTTTAATGTCGTCACTTGTTTTTGAAAGGTGCAAAAGTCATTTGGACCTCTTAGGAATATGCTACTTTTGGAAATTAGTTTACATCTGAGGTCAAAGTGGATAAACAACCAATAACAACCACTTGTTTTAAGTGGATGGTGTAATAAAAATGGTCAAATAAAATGTACCAGGAAGTAAAAAAAAAAAAAAAAAAGACTTTAAAAAGGAACTATTAGTGTATTCTTGAACTTTGCTTTTTGGTTAACATTTTTTGGGAGTTGAGAGAAAACAGCAGTAGCATATAATAATTATACATGGTTTCAAATGTTTCTGCAAATTAGAAAATAAAAACTAAAATGGTATTCAGCCTGCATGACTCAAATCTGCCAATAGTATTTTTCAAGTTTCTCAGCTGGTGCAGGTTTGAACTTTGACTACACAATCAAAGAATAATGGCATGCATTATTCTTTGATTTAAATTATTTAATCATAGCCCTGGGTGTATGTTTAGGGTTTGTTCTGCTTGAACGTGAATCTCCACCCCAGTTCCAAGTCCTAAGAGATTTTCTTCCTGTTTTGGCATATATATAGCTCCATCCATCCATCCTACTGTCAGCTATCATCAGATTACCCCGTCGCTGTCAAAGTAGAACAACCCTGCAACATGTGACTGCCACCACCATGTTTCAGAATGTGGATGAAATTCAGTTTAAGTTTTCTTATAGTTTCACGTGATGGTTAAAAGATTCAGCTTCAGTATCGCCAATAAAGAGGTTTCTGAAGGTTTATGTGTATTGGAGTGAATGCCATTTTTTTCCCCCTCTTGTAATTGTTAAATTGTTAACTTAGAGATTATGTGCTATTTAGGCTTTATGGCAAGCATTTTAATGAAATATACTAAAGTTTGTGGTTGTAAAGGGACAGAAAATGAAAAAGTTCAGGGTTGTGAATACCTTTTTCGAGGGAAACTACATGCAGACACCCGCTGTATCATCCTCACTAGCGTGACGCACCAAAAGTATAAGTGGAGACAGAGACTCATAAAGACCAGAGATAAAAATATAGCAAAACCCAAACCAAAAATAGTCTAACCAAAATCTCGTCTGCTGTCATTTAGTCGCAAAGTCTGCTGTATTCTCCGCTTGCTACGTTTCTACGCGCAGTGTGACCGGTTTCCAAAAATCCGACAGCCTTGAACACACCACCGCTCTGTCCCGTTGGAGGACAGTCTGTAAACTCGGGAGGGGAAGCGCTACGCTGTGAAAACTCCCTGGATTTACACTCTGCCATTTTGAGTAAAAGACTGCCGACAGCGGAGTTCAGACGTGTCCATCAAGCGGCGGTCATGACCTGAATTAAAGCAGAACAGCTCGGCGGGACTTTGTGAGTATTCATGGATTTCTTTTGCATCCAGAAATGTTTTGCCAAAAAAAAAAAAAAAAAAATCAGGGATAGGGGGCAACAGTTTCGGACTGTTTGTAAACGCTGGTGACCTCGGTGTTTAGTCCGTTTTGGTTCAACTGTGAGTAAGTGTTGCATGCAGTGATACACCTTTAAAAGTTGTAAACACAACAACTCTGAGTGTGTTTGTCACAACAGTAAAACTAAACTGGGACCCGAACTGGGCCTCTGTGTCCGGGTTACAGGGGCCTCTGTTGTGGATGACAGCATCCTCGTTCTGCTGCTGTGGGAGAAATTAAATAGTTCACCCGGTAACTAGTGTGTTTGTCTGGGATTTACTGACCCCCCCCTCTGCGTGCAACAATGGTGCAAACAGTGCATCAAGATGCGAAACGAGATGGAGATCCAGTTAATTTACGAAAAGGAATGGCATTTTATTGTGGCTTTTCTAATGCGTAAGTTCAGCTGAGAACGTTAAAAAATAAACAAAATGAAAGAGACTTTGTTCACTTTTGGTTTCAGCAGCTAAATCTGTGTAAATGTGGCTGGCATAACGAAACTCATAAAAGGAAGTAATTCAACAAATTATTTTAGAAGTACCTTCTGAGGGGGTTGCTGTATTTTTGCACTTTAAGACCACTATAATTCGTTGTGAAAGTCTATTCTAATAAAAGGGATACAGTTTGTTTTTTTTGTTTACTTTTCATTGTGTTCTTGCGTGTAGTTGTTGAGTCATAATAGTTTCTGTGCATGAAGTCGAGAATGGTGGGGAAATAGCGTGAAAGATAAAAGACGGGCATCCCGACATTAGCCGAAAGCAGTCGAAGAGTGGCGACATCAGGTATGGAGTTCCGAACTTGGGCAGTTCGGAAGTTCACACCTTTTTGTACTCGGAAGTCAATTTTTCAGTTTCAAGTCGGGAAAACCACAACAAGTCTCCTAAAATGAGAATCCCAAAAGGAAAATTGATGATAGTGCAGCAATCCTGAGGTCACAATCCAATATGGCCGCTGGTTTGGCTGCTGTTTCACTGCTAATAGCTGTGGCAGAAACATTATTATCGATGTCTCTTAAAGCTGCAGCATGTAATATTTTTTTTTACAAACAATATGTTTTTTTATGCATTTGTTAGAACTGTCAATATGTGTTTACAGAATAATGTGAGACAGATTACCTGTGGTTCTACTGCCATCTGCAGAAATTCATTCACCGTGCCAGTCAGAAACAACCAATCAGAGCCAAGAGGAAGAACTTAGCACTGTCAGTCACACTGTGAGCTATAGTGTCAGTTTTAAGAAACATGGAAAGAAAACATATTGTTTATAAAAGTTACATACTGCAGCTTTAAACATGTTCTGCTATTTGAAACCAAGTTCTCAGTTTTTTCATTCTAGAGCAAAAAATGTTTCCAATAGTGAAGCTAGTGGAAACATTTAAGCTGACTTAAAACCACTCTTTTTGCCTCTCTCTGTTTCTAAGATCAAGCCGTTTAGACAGGTTCTAATTTATTGTTTTAAAATTCAGATTTTTTTAGGATGGTTCTGGCGCTACACTATGATGATATTTGCCCTTTAAACAGCTTTTTTTTTTTTTTTTTTTTTTTTTTTAAAATTTTATTTTCCTTTTTTAAAACCAACACGGGGCGTGCTATTAAAACAAAAACTCTTCCCCAAAA